GGATTGGAAGACTTAATATTGATAAGATGATACTCTTCAAACTGATCTATAGATTCAAGGCAATCACTATCAAAGTCCCAATTGACTTCTTTGCAGCAATTGACCCTAAAGTTCATATGGAAATTCAAGGGACAGAATGGCCAAAACAATCTTGAAAAGAACAAAGTTGGAGGACTCACACTTCCTGATTTCAGAACTTACTACAAAATTACAGTAATCTAGACTGTGTGGTACTGGTATAAAGACAGGCATATAGATCAATGGAATGGGATTGAGAGTCCCATAAATAAACTTTCGTGTTTATAGTCAGTTGATTTTCAACAAGGGTGCCAAGATTATTCAGTGGAGAAAGGACAGTCTTTTCAACAAATGGTGTTGGGACAACTAGATGCCCACATGGCAAAGAACAATGTTGAACCCCAACCTCACACCATATACACAAATTAATTCAAAATGGATCAAAAAACTAAATGTAAGAGCTAAAACTATAAAACTCAAAGGTGTAAATCTTTGTTACCTTAAATTAGACACTGCCGGGGCACCTGGGTAGCTCAGTCAGTTAAGCAGCTGCCTTTGGCTCAGGTCATGATCCCAGGGTCCTGGGATCAAGCCCGAAGTCAGGCTCCCTGCTCAGTGGGGAGTCTGCTTTTCCCTCTCCCTCTGTGCTCTCGCTCTCGCTCTCTCTCCCTCTCTCTCAAGTAAATAAATAAAATCTTAAAAAAAATTAGACATTGCTTTCTTAGCAAAAGCACAAAGAAAAAAATAGATACATTGGACTTAATCAAAATTAAAACTTTTGTGCTTCAAAGGATGCTATCAGGAAAGAGAAAATACAGCCCATAGATTGAGAGAAAATATTTGCAAATCATATATCACAATGAGGTGCTTATATCCAGAATATATAAAGAACACTTACAACTCAAGAATAAAAAGACAAATAATCCAATTTAAAAATGGGCAAAGGATCTGAACAGACATTTCTCCAAAGAAGATAAACAGATGGCCAATAAAGCACAAGAAACGGTGCTAAACATCATCAGCCACCAGGGAAATGCAAATCTACAATGCAAAATTACCATCTATGGTATAGAGATACCATCTCACACCCACGGGGGTGGCTGTAATAAAACAGATAATAACAAATGTTGGCGAGGATATGGAGAAATGAGTGCCCTCATACATTGCTGGTGGGAATGTAAAATGGTGCAGCTGCTTTGGAAAATAATCTGGCAGTTCCTTAGTTGGTTAAACGTAGTGTTACCCCATGACCGGAAGTTACAAGCAAGAGAAATGAAAATAGGGCCACATAAAAACTTGTACACTAATGTTCATAGCAGCAGCATTCATTATAGCCCCAAAGTGGAAACAATCATGAATGGAAAATAAAATGTAGTATATCCACATGGTGGAATATTATTTGGCAATAAAAAGGAATGGAATCCTGGGGCTCCTGGGTGGCTCCATCATTTAAGCATCCAACTCTTGGCTTCGGCTCAGGTCGTGATCTCAGGGTCATGAGATGGAGGGAGCCCTGTGTTGGGCTCCATGCTCAGTGCGGAGTCTGCTTGAGATTCTCTCCCTCTCCCTCTGCCCCTCCCATTCTGTCTCTTTCAAATAAATAATCTTAAAAAAAAAAAAAGGAAGTCCTGATACATGCTCCGACATGGATGAATCTTGAAAACACTGTGTTAAGTGCAAGAAGCCACACACAAAAGATCATATATCATATGATTACATTGATACGAAATCTCTGGAATAAGCAAACCTAGAGAGACAGAAAGTAGAATGGCGGTTGCCTGGGGCTGGGGGTTGGGGGGAAGCGGAGGATGAGTACTTGTGGGGGTGGGGTTTATTTCTGGATCGTGAGATGTTCTAAAACTGTGCTGATAACTGCACTACTCGGAATATACTAAAAACCATTGAATTGTACATGTTAAATGGGTGAACTGTATGACATGGAAATTATATCTCAATAAATTTGTTACAAAAGTCACTGTGAAAGATTCCAGATCCTTCCAGATGTACAAAAATATATAAAGCTTTTTACCATTAACGCCATGTATCTACCATCCAGCTTAAGGAATGGAGCATTATTAATTGCCCACCTGTGTCCTACCAGGTAGCGTCTGTTCTCACCTGGTTATAGGTGATGACCATTCCCATGAACTTAAAACGTCCTTCTTTACTAATCAAACTGTACCTGCTCTTTGAGAAAACAGACTATGCACCCAGGAGTCTTGGGGCTCAGGGAGGGCATGGTTACGGTTGCAGCTGGGAGTCACCTGTGCTTGTGGGGAATCTCCATTCAGGCAGACCCGGGCAGGAGATCACAAAAGTGTGGAATCCAAGGTCAAATCAGGGTAGGTCTGCCTCTTAAGTCCGGTGTCTGTCACATTGTGACTTGACCGTGGCTATGGGAGAGCAAGGGCTGCTGAGGCTGAGAGTTTATGCCTCTGCTCCCCTCAGGAATAGGATTTATACAATTTCCTGACATCTTTTAGGACGTGGTGACCCCAGTGTTATGTGTGGAGCCTTCCCAGAGGCTCCTGGCTAAAATGTGTTTGTGTGGGATCGTCCCAGGGGACCGGCTCGGGGGGCTGATGAGCGGGTTCTTTCCCTGTTTTCTGCAGGGTTGTGGACACAAGAGGTGCTCATTTAGTGCCGGCGGACAGACGGGAGGCAGGTGCGGGTGGATGGGTGGGTCAGCACCCAGATGGTGAGTGGGCGGCTGGAGGTGCAGACAGTGGGTGCGGAGGGTGGACGGATGGCCACATGGCTCGGTGTCTTCCCTGCTCACTGCTCGTCGCCCCCTGACCCCTTGCTTTCAGCTGCGGGCAGCAGAGGTGGAGATCAAAGACCTGCAGTCGGAGTTCCAGCTGGAGAAGATCGATTACTTGGCCACCATCCGCCGGCAGGAGCGGGACTCCATGCTCTTCCAGCAGCTCCTGGAGCAGGTGCAGCCCCTCATCCGCCGGGACTGTAACTACAGCAACCTGGAGAAGATAAGGCGCGAGGCCTGCTGGGACGAGGACAATGGCTTCTGGAAGATCCCCGAGCCCATCGTCATAAAAACCAGCCTCCCAGTAGGTCAGGCGCTTGGCTGTCCCCTCAGCCCTCATCCACGCAACTTGCCCTCCTGTGGGCTGACCCGGAGCCGGGGCCCCGGCCTTGCTGGCTGTGGGTGCAGGAGTCAGGGGGCCTGGGGGCTCCGAGATGGTGGGGAGCTGAGAGAGAAGTGGTGTGTTCTGGAGTGACACAGATGTGGGTTGGAATTCTGGCTCCACGGCTCCGTGTGTGGCCTCTTTGGGACTCAGTGTCCTCATCTGTGAAATGGGGATTAGTAACCGCACCTTCCGTAAAGATCGCTGGGTGGCTTAGCCTGTGTTCATGCATGTGAAACCCTTAGCGCCCTGCCTGGCACATGGCAAGTGAGTGCTACGTTTGATCACTGTCATGACCGCCACTCATTACCTCCCCCAACAAGCCTGGGCAGGGCAAAGATGATTACACCCGTTTTACATCTGAGGAGATGGAACCTCAGAGAGAGAAGTGACTGAACCAGAGTCCCAGTCGGAACAGTGAGTCCTAGGACCAGGGATAGAAACTGGGTCACCTTCTGCTTTTGCCGCTGATTTCTGTGTGACCCTATGAAGGTCACTGTTCCTCTCTGGGCCTTGGTCTGGGATCTTCACAAAGAAGGGGTTAGGGAAGGTGGCCTTGAAGGCCCCTCCACCTCCACCGGTCTCAGTAAGGTCTGTCTCCGGCCTCACAGCTGGGAGCGCCCCCCGTCAGAGAATGTTCGTGCAGGTCCTGCATCTCTGAGTTTACAGATGGCCACTGACACCCCACTGCGGGGAGGCCAGCCAGCTCCATTTCCCAGATGCAGGCATCCATCAGTTTCTCCTGCCCCCACTGACCTGCTCTGTTGAGGAAGCAGGGGAATGGCTGCTTTGGCATCTGAGCCCTCCTGGTCTCTGTTTCCCAAAATCATCCCGTGGCCTGGGCTGGGCAGTGTGCTCCCTGGCTCCAGGCCTGTGAGCTCGGGGGAGTGCTGCCGCCCGCCCTGACCCTCTGGCCCGCGGACTAGGGACCAGGCAGCAGTGACTTCAGCTTGTGTTTCTCATAGCAGTTCCAACAGGGCCACAGAACAAAGTAGTCCGCAAAACCTCTGCAGCAGACAACGGTGAACCAGGCACGGTAAGGCCTGTGGGAGAGGGGGTGAGGCACGGGGAGCTGGTGGGGTGGGGGGGTGGCTTGCGGGTCTGCCTCACTATAGGGCACTGGGCTTCTACTTTCATCCCACCTGAGGGTCAAAGCAGGAGGCTGAGCCTGGATCTTTTCTGCGTCACTCTGTTGGACCCTCGCCCTGCTCTGACCTTCATTCAAAGGCACTTATGGTCCTAGAGACCAGAGGGAAAGTAGGTGGTACAGGGTAGCCCGTCCTGCTGGTGAAGGACAAGAGCTTCATCTTCAATCTCAGAGGCAGGCCGTACGTTCTGGTTCCCTGGGCCATTGCTGGTATCCTCGGACCAAAGTTGCCCGCAAGGATCCACAAAATAGTAATTGGGCTTCTGAAGTCACTTTGTTCTCCTATCTCCCATGTTTTGTATTACAATAGAAATAGACCTCCTCCAAGCGGAGGTCAGGAAACCTTCCTGTAAAACACCACACCTTTCCGTGTCTTCTTCACCTCTCAGTTCTGCTTCCCTTGCAATGCTAGCTTCAGGGTCAGGCAGGCTTTCTTGGCGCAGCAGGAAAGATGCCGCCGGCAGCTGGTGATCCAAGAGGAAGAGACCAGTTCTCTTAGCACATCTTAAACCAACACTTGTGGAAAGATTCCTATCAGCTCTGCCTGGGTCAGGGGCCCGCTCTTGGACCAGTGACTATGTCCGGAAGATGTATTTCTGTGGCTGGTTCGGGCTGGGTCCCATGCCCAGTTGTGCAGCCAGGGGGTGGGCGAGAGGGAGTGGTGGTGGTAGGGCACTGAATGATCGCCTCACCAGGACCTCGTCAAGGGGGAGAAGGGTAGTCCCTGAAGGGAGATTCAGGCTTAGGCAAACAAGTCCATTAGAGTGGTGACAAATCACAGTCCTTGGTGATAAGAGATGGGGGCTCCAGTTCTAATGACTGATTGTGCCCATGGGCTGAGTCCTGTATTATCTATTCTATGAATACGTCGTGATGGATTTGGGCTATGTGGTACTGGACTGACAAGGCACTTCCCACGACAGGGACGGCAGGTGGCGTAGCCTTGGCCGGAGCGGGGACTCTCCTGCCCTGAGTTGCCTGGATCCCACCCCAGGAGTCTGGGGTCTCTAGTAGGGCCCACAGGGTGGGCCAGGAGGCTCAGGGTGGCCCCCACCCCACCAGGCTTGCAGAGGGGTCTTGTACAAACAAGGCGTCTTGACCCACGGGGATCTGAATCTCAGCAGGAAGAAGACCGCTACAAGCTGATGCTCAGTCGGAGCGACAGTGAAAACATTGCCAGTAACTACTTCCGGTCCAAGCGAGCCAGCCAGATCCTCAGCACGGATCCCATGAAGAGCCTCAGTGAGTGCCCTGCCCACCTCCTGTCCTCCAGCCCCTCGCCGGGAGAGCCCTCCCCGGCCCTTGGCCAACCGTGGGAGAGGCGTGAGGGGTGGATTGGAGTCAGGCCCGGGTTAGAAACCCCTGCCCATCCCTGAGCCTCTGTTCCCTCTGCTGTACACATGCCTACCTCCAGGGTTAGGTGAGGTGAGGGGGGAGAGCAGCCCAGCCCAGCGCCGGGCACATGGTACACGCTCCGTGCCCAGACTCCCTCTTCCTGTCCCCCTTCCTCCTCTGGCACAGAGCTGCAGTGTTTGGTTCCTCTGCCTCCCCCGACACACAGTAGGCCTGCGCCACACAGCTGGGTGTCCTGCCATGTGCTGCCCGGGTCCGGCTCAGTTGCTCCCCAGCTTCCGCCAGTGGGGTGGCTTTCTTCCACGGAGCCAAAGGGGGCAGACAGGGCCGTAGAAGCGGGACACTTTTTTTTTTTTAAGATTTTATTTATTTGACAGAGAGATAGAGAGCACAGGTAGGCAGAGAGGCAGACAGAGGGAGAGGGAGAAGCAGGCTCTCCGCTGAGCAGGGAGCCCGATGCGGGGCTCAATCCCAGGACCCTGGGATCATGACCTGAGCCGAAGGCCGACGCTTAACGACTGAGCCACCCAGGTGCCCCAAAGCGGGACACTTTTAAAAGCAAGAATTGAAAATCACTTTGTTCTTCCATTTCTTTTTTTACTTTTTAAGATTTTATTTATTTATTTGAGAGAGAGAGAGAGCATGAGAGCACAGGGGGAGGGGCAGAGGGAGAGGGAGAGTCTTAGGCAGACCTCCCCATTGAGTGTGGAGCCTGACCCGGGGCTCGATCTCACAACCCTGAGATCATGACCTGAGCCAAAACCAAGTTAAGTGTCGGACGCTTAACTGACTGAGCCACCCAGGCGCCCCTCGTTCTTCCATTTCTAAAAGCAAAACCAAAGGCCACAGAGCTCCTAATAAAATATCCACGAAAAGCAAATCTCAGTTCTACATTGAGACTGTTGAGGAGGCAGAGTTCAGTAGAGTTGAGGATCAGCAGGGGAAAAGAGCACAGGAAACAAATGAACATCAGCTGAGGACCTGGCACTGTGCCCACGCTGCAGATGAGGAAACTGAGCCCCTGCCCCCCGCTAAGGTCACGCTTGCACGAAGCTGGGCCCTGAGTGCAGGCCTGTCTGGCTCACTCGTGGGTCAAGACTCCTTGCTTGTACAACTCTCACCTCTGCAAGCCTGGTGGGGTGGGGCCGCCCTGAGCCTCCCGGCCCACTCTGTGGACCCAACTAGAGCCTCTAGAACTCCAAGCTCCTGGCCCAGACCCTCTGGGGGCCCAGCCGTGGGACCAGCCCTCCAGCTGGGTGGGGTGGGGCGGGCTCCCCATCCCTGCACCCCCCTGGCTCACGGGCTCCTCTGCCCCCTTCTTCACAGCGCATCACAGCTCGCCCCCCGGCCTCAGCTCCCCACTCAGCAACACCTCTGCCATCTCGCCTACCCAGGCCCCCGAAATGCCCCAGCCCCGGCCCTTCCGCCTCGAGTCCCTTGACATCCCCTTCACCAAGGCCAAGCGAAAGAAAAGCAAAAGCAGCTTTGGCAGTGAGCCTCTGTGAACGCGGCCTCCTGCGGCTGTCCTGCCCCGGGGCTTCCGTGAGACTGCCAGTCCCCCCGCCCCCCAGGGCAGCCCCAGCCAGTCCTCCTCACCCCTGTCCCTATGGTGTCCGGATGCCCGAGGGGGTCCTTGCCCTGGAAAGAGCCTTTCCCTTCCCTGTTACCCAACCTTGCAGAGGTGCGCTCCTGCTCTCCACGCCACGCCACGCCAGTATTACATCTGCTCCCCTGCCACAGCCCGCCGTGCCCACCCGGGTTATTCTGTGCCTCGATGGGCCCAGAAACCTCAAGGCATTCACCAGCAGCCCCAACAGAGTGGGCAGCAACTTCCATGTGGATCAAGGACAGCATCTTGGTGATGGACAATCATGTCTCTGTCCACCAGGCCCCCCTTCCTGGGGGAAGCTGGACGGTGTAGGCGCGGGTGTCCTGGGGCAACTGTTCCACGCTGCCCACTCCCAGGTGGTCTGTAGCCTCCAGAAGGCTGCCCCACATGAAGCTGCCCCACCCAATAAACTGCCTTTTACCGATGAGCTCCCTTCCCCAGTCCTCTGACCGTGTCACTGGGGCCCCTCCTGCCCCTGCTGCCTGGCCTTCACAGGGAAGCGCTTTTGGAGCAGCGTTTCTTAACTACCCGATGCCTTGAAAACAGGCTGCAGGGTTTCTCCAACTCCCCACACTCGTGAGTACAAGTGCATTTTTCTGGGGAGCCAGAAAATGTATGTACCGGGAACATCTCATTAGCTTCTCAAAAGATCTGTGAGTCAGAAAAGCAGAGCCCTTGTTTTGGAAAATAGAGATTGTGTCTTGCTGAGACCCAGAAAAAGGCCAGGTTTGGACAGTCCTCAGGGGCTGTGCTGGAACTGGATGCCCTGACGTGGCCAGAAATGAACGAAGGCTGTCCGGGCTACTGAGGATATACCCCTCCCCGTGCCCTTTGTATCCCACGCCTGCCCTGCGGGAGGGCCCCACCATCTGAGGGAAGAGTTTCAGCCTTTGGTTGAAGAGGAGACTCATTTCACTCTGGGCCCCATCTGTGAAAGGGGAACAGCTGTTCCCTAGAGCTATTGTGAAGCTTCTACGAGAGTAAGTGATGCTCCCGGTACATAGCAGGTGCCTTGCGTTAGTCCCCCTTGTTCTTTCTCCTCTGTATTTTGCATTAATTTACTGTGGTGGATCCCATAGGCCACATGCCTGGACCAAGCTCACGTCCTAGAGATCAAGGTAACTGCAGGCAGGCTGCAGTACCCATGTTGAGAGGAAGAGCAGGTCTTTATGGGGAACAGAGTGCCCTTGTGAAGGGTAGGGCTATCATAAAGGATGGAGAAGATCCTGGGAGGCTTAAGATGGGAATGGCGGGGGGCGTGAGCAAAGGCAGGAGGTGGGGAGTGTGTTAAAAGTTTGGAAACTTGCCACAGGGAAGCCCTGAGCAGGGCTGAGAGGAGGATGTGGCTGCCGAGATCAGTTTCAGTGGAAACCTGAGTGGAGTCTTGGGTGTCCCTGAGCTGTGGCAGACTCCTAAGCCACCAAATGGCACCATTGGGTCTGAGTTCCAGGTGTACTCGTGGGGGATCATATGCAGAAGGGCAGGAGCCCTGGACTGGGGAACAAGGCAGGGGTGAGGCTGAACTCGCCGTGGAGCCAGTGGAGGTGGAGAGGAGGTAGAATCAGTTAAGGAGATGGACGGAGGGAGATTTTGGCTTTTGCCCCCACATTCCTGGCTTCGTGGACAAGCGTGAAAGGTCAGAAAGAACGGCTACCTACTCTCCCCACAATTACCTTCACCATTTGCCCCAGGATTGTGGTTGGGACCCAGGGAGTAACCAAAATCTTGGTGCTGCTTGTGGTAGCTTTTACTCAGACCCATGGTGGAGCTGAGATGAGCCCCGTCAATTTAGAAGGGGTGGGAGCCAGGATTACTGAGGGGATGCTCAGCCTCATCTGCACCAACTGCTTCAGAACCTGCCCTAGAGCTCCCACGCGCCCAGGCTTTCCCAAAGGCACGCAGGTAAGTGGGAGGGCTGGGCCTCGCTATCGTTTCTATTTCCAGCCTAGGAGTGGGCCCGCAGAGACGTGAAATGCCCCAGCAGCAAGGTTAGTGCGAGGGAGGGGGCTGAGAAATGAACCCGCCGTGAGAGTTTCAGTCGGTAGGCCGGTTCGCCGCCCATCCACGCTGGCTCCCACGTGCGCCACCAGGCCGGGCAGGACAGGCCCGTCCCAAGGCCCCTGGGCCCGTGGGCGGCAGGAGATTCAAAGTGTCCCTCATCTTAGTTTTACAACCTTTCCGCCCTGGAGATGGTGGAGGTGGGGCCTGGTTCCTAGTCCCGAGTCTATCCTGGGCCTGGGAGGACCCCGCCAGGCAGCACCGAGGAGGTAGTCCGTGGAGGCCACCACGGGAGCAACTCCCGTGAGGGCCTTGCCAGACTGATAAAGAGGCGGGATCCAGATCGGGGCGGGAGTCCGGCCTGGGCGGAGCTTGCGGGAGCTCGGCCTTGTTGATTGGCTGCGGCTGCGGAGCTGTCTTTCTAGGATTGAGCCTTTTCCTTTGAGGAAGCGGAACCTCTCTCCCCTTCCGCCAAAAGGGTTCAGAGACTCCGCCCCCAACCGGGGCACTTCCGGTGGTGCTCCCCGCTCTTCGTCCCGGCTGCGGCTCCGGCCGCCTGGCCGCGGCGTACCAAGATCGCTTCCGGGTGTGACTCCAAGACCACGAGCGGCGATTGGGCGGCCTAGACGGGGCACTTCCGGTGCCCAGGTGCTTGGGCTCTTGGCAGGAGAAGGAAGATGGAGCCCGGCGCCGCGGCCCGCGCTTGGTCTTTCCTGTGGCTGCTGCTGCTCTTGCTTGGCCCGGCCTGCGCTAGCGGTCCTCGTACCTTAGTGCTGCTGGACAACCTCAACCTGCGGGAGACGCACTCGCTTTTTTTCCGAAGCCTGAAGGGTGAGACCGGGGCCCGAGGGGGCGGCGGGGGGAGAGTCGGGTTGGAAAGCCCCCCGAATCCAGGGCAGCGACCACCCACCCTTCCTCCCTCCCACTGATTTTCCACGAAGGGGCTGCCCGCTCTCGCCTCTCGCTCGGGGCGGGGGGGGGGGGCGGTCGTGGTCTCTGCAGCGGTGCTGTCCCTTGGCGTCCCGTCTGCCTCAGCTCCCTCTTTCTTTCTCGTCCAGACAGGGCCTTTGAACTCACATTCAAGACCGCAGATGACCCCAGCCTGTCCCTCATTAAGTACGGAGAGTTCCTCTACGACAACCTCATCATCTTCTCCCCCTCGGTAGAAGGTAAGGGCTACAGGTCGCTCCCAGAACTGGAATTCAAGGCCCACAATTGATTGATCGCTTTCTTCTGGATCTGGTGCATTTTCTGGGTCATGGCATGGGTCACCAGCCCTGGGCACTGCTGCCAAGGAAGAGGAAAGTGTTCAATTCTGACCTGGGCCCAGGAAGGAATGTCTCCTTTCTAAAAGACACAGCTGAGGGTTGTGGGGTCAAGTGTTGCACAGACCATGGAAGCGCAGGCCCTGCTACCCGGAGAAGGCGCTTTTCTCTTATAAAGGGCCCGATGGGAAAGATGGAGAACGGCCCTGCTTGGGTTAGCCTGTGTGGGTAGAGAAAATGGCATGCTATTAAATAGTTTGCCTACAGAGGCATTGTGATAGTTGATGGTAAGAATTGAGATGGATTCACAGTTTCTCATGGCTAAAACATCAGTCATCAGCTAGCCCAGCCCCGTATTGGAGATTGGACAGGTATGTCCAGGGCCTAGTAGAGAGCTGGTTGTTGAACAGAATGAATGTCTTCACTGGCTTATCCAATTGATACTTAAGTATTCCTGTGACAGAGAGCTTACAAGTTGTGCTCAGGTGGATGGGAGCTTCCTGAGAAGGAAGCGAGCTGTGGGTGAGATGGGTTGGGGGAAGTCTGAGCTAGGCTCTTTGGGAATGTCAGAGAACCTGAACAGTGTTTCTCAAATCTTAGTAATTTCCATACCTCCTTCCTGATTTTTACTGTATTCCATATCACCCATTAATAATTAATGTTTTCTTTAAATTGATCCCTTAAAAAAAAAACCGTAACAATATTTTAAAAGGAAACCAGTAATGAACCCAGTATCACCACTAAAAATAGAAAGCCAGTATCATCACTTCTTTTCAGTAGAAGGTAACTATAAATAGAGTAAACGCTGTAAGTTCTAACCAGCTTCTGTTGCTAAAGGCTGAGTCCAGGGCTTCCACTTAAAGGAGACTAGCAAACATTAGAGAAGTGTTAAGATCAGTATCAAACTGGGGCGCCTGGGTGGCTCAGTCGTTAAGCGTCTGCCTTCGGCTCAGGTCATGATCTTGGGGTCCTGGGATCGAGCCCCATGTCCAGTTCCCTGCTCCACGGGGAGCCTGCTTCTCCCTCTCCCTTTGGCTCTCCCCCTGCTTGTGCTCTTTCTCTGTCACTATCTGCCTCTCTCTATCAAATAAATAAATAAAATCTTAAAAAAAAAAAGATCATTTTTTTTTTTAAGACATTCTCTTTGATGGAGCAGGCTTCAAAAATAATTGGAAAGGGAAGAAGTCTCTCTCAGATTCAGTATTGTTTAAAGCTCTGCCCCACATCACTGTTGCACCTTTTCTGCGCCTAGCACATAAGACCCACATGCTGCAGGAAAGCTTCACGGGTGCTCCTGGGGAGAAAGCTTGTCTGTGCTGGGGGGGTTCATGGTAAGAGTTTGGCCCTGGCTCTGAGGGCCCTTCCGTGCTACTGTGACTTACCGTTAGCCCTCTCAGGTATGAGAACCTGGCCTGGCTTCCTTCCCCATGCATCAGTGGGTTCCTCGCTGACTCTGGGATTAGGAAGCTCGCAAGTCACATGCAATGATGGCCATAGAAGAAGGATCCTTAGCACGTCCTTTGTACCCGGAAAAAACTAGGTCCTGTTTTATAGATGGGCGCATGGGCTCAGAAGGGTGGAGGGGTTTCCTAGATTCAAGCCCAGGTAGCTCTGTCTCACAGCCTGGGTTCTTGCCACTGTACAAGGATTTCACAACAGTGGCGCTTCTGGACACCTGGGACTGGATAATTCTTTGTCGTAGGGGGCGGTCTGGTGCACTGTAAGATGTTTAGCATTCTGAGCCTGTACGCACTAGATGGCAGTAGCCACCTCCAGACATTGCTCTTAGGGCAAAATTGCCCCTGGCTGGGAACCACACTGTCCACTGCAGTGTAGTACCAGGAGCTGCTTTTGAATTGTCTGACTCTGCCTGGCCTGTCTGTATGTAGGAGGGTGGATAGATGGCTTTCTGAATGTAGTAGAAGAGGTAAAGTCCCCAGGTACAAGATGTTCTGTCTGTGCTTAAAGGTAAGGTAAGCTGCTTTTTTGTTTTTTCCTGAAAATTATCCCTAAGAAAAGAGGGCCATTCTCATAGTCGTATCTTTATACAGTCATATTATGGACTCATAATGGATGTGTAATGGACAGACTTCTCTATCCAGTCTCAGTACATGGCACTTCCACCCTTCCCGTTGCTTGAGCTGGAAATCTTGGGGTTGTCCTTAGCGGGCCCCCCCCCCCCCGTATCCGGTCTGTCACAGGCCCTGCTGACTTTACCTTCAGAATAGGAGTGCAGGCCCACCTCCTGTCTTCCTCCTCTCTTCCCTCCACTCTTCACTGCCTGGATTATCACAGTGGCCTCCTAACCCACTGCTCTGCTTCCATTCTAGTCCCCTACCCGATTCTCCACCTAGCTGCCAGAATTGTCCTTTAAAAATATAAAGCAGGTCATGTCGGTGTCCTGTTCAAAAGCCTCCAGTGGCTCCTCCTTATGGCCAAGCTCACAGGGGCCTGTAAAGCCTCGTGAGCTGCTCTCCTCGCTTCAGCACGGCCTCATTTGCTTTTGCTCGCCCCTTCATACTCCAGCCGAGCCACACTGGGCTCCTTGCTGGGACGGGCTCACCTGCCTTGGGGACCTTGCACCTGTCGTTCTTGATGCCCCCCTGTGCTACCTGGGCCACGCTCACACCTCAGATGCTATGTGCCTCAGGTCTTCCCTGACCAGGCTTTATATGTAGCTCCCCTCCCTCCTGCTGTCCTTTTTTTTTCTGCACACAAAAAGTAATGTTCATGTAATGACTAAGTGAATTCCTGAGCACTCCCTCCATTACTTTATGTTGAACATCGGGGTGCACTTTGGGGAAGACTCTTGATCTGGTTCTGGATGCTCATGGCAGTCCCCTGACCGGATTGACTGACCAAAGAAAGATACGGTCTCATAAGTACACAGGGTGGAAGTTAATGAGCCTTTTTGGGGATAAAAGCCGTCTACAAAGTGGTTCTGTTACGGCTCTCGTGGATCTAAATCATAGGATTAATAGGGGAAAAAGTTACGCGTGTGGGCAAATGAGTACCAGTGTCAAGTGACCGCATCATCCTCAGATTCAGAACTGTTCATTCGCAGATAGTTTAGATGGAAGTGAAATTGATGGGCTCTGGAAAACTGTCAGCCCAAAGTGCTTCCGGTGCTGCAGAGATGCTGATGTGAAAGGTGCAGGTGGTGTATCATGAAGTGTGAGTGGGGAAATGCAGCATTTCTGAACATATATATGTGACTTGAAATGTGTAAAACTAACATGACAACTATAATTGGTAGGTGTTTGACTATGTCATTTATACTTCTGAGAGTTAAAAGTTTATGAATTCAGGTCATTACTTTAGGATCTTCAGTTTGGGGAAACGGGCATATATGGTAAACGACCGTCTTGTTTCGGGCCGCAGAGGGCGCTTCTGGGATGGATTGTGGTTGGTCCGTGGTCCACCCTCCCTGCCCACATGTCAGAGGAGCAGTCGGGCTCACTGAGTCTGGTGCTTCTTTCAGATTTCGGAGGCAACATCAACGTGGAGACCATCAGTACCTTTATCGACGGGGGAGGCAGTGTCCTGGTGGCTGCCAGCTCAGACATTGGTAAGTCTGACTTGGAAAGGTTTAGTGCTTTCCATCGTTTCTCCGGGAAACTTGGCGAGTTTTACAAATGGAAGCTGCTAGATTGGCGCTCACTGGGCGGGCCTGGGCAGTGAGTGTGGGAACTACAGAGCCATTCAGTCCCTCCTGTGTTTTCCTGTGACCAGAACCGGGGAGATGTGGGGCCTGTTAAGGGCTGGGGACCCTGTTTTTTCCCGATTTTGTTTTTTCCCTTTGTTTTGTTTTTGTTCAGGTTGGTGGGGCTTCCCTTACAAAAAGACAAGTAGGGGCTACTTGGGCAGACCCCAGAGCATTTTGATGGATTATTTTTTTGTTTCCTATTTTGGAAATTTTCAAAGATGCCTCGAAGTAGGGAGAGAGCAGTATCCTGAAGCCTGCACGCGTTATCACCCAGCTTCCCCAGCTTCAGCAGGCATCAGCACCTGGCCAGTCTTGTTTCATTTTTCTCAGCATTGACAGATGTTTATTTTTTTTAAAGATTTTATTTGAGAGAGCGAGCAGGAGAGTGGGGGGGCGGGAGAGGGAGAAGCAGACTCCCCACTGAGCAGGGAGCCTGACTTAGGGCTTGAGACCATGACCTGAGCCAAAGGCAGATGCTTAACTGACTGAGCCACCCAGGCGCCCCAGCATTGCCAGATGTTTAAAACCATACTGGGTGGGCTTCTTGTTGGGGGTGACGAGGAGGAGAGAAGTCCTGTGAGGCCAGGCTCATCCAGGTCAAGGCTGTCTGAGGTAATTGCTTTGCCCCAACAGGGGTTTTTGTGTATTGTGGGTGGAGGTGGCCAGGTGTCGGTGTTACCCGTTCAGATTCTGACCCCTGCAGTCAGAATACCATGCTGTGGTCCTGTGGTCCAGTGGGGCCTCACCTCAGCCAGGTGAAGCTGCAGGGCTCTGGGGGAGAGAGCAAGTCACCAGGATGCCAGGGCAAGTGACACTGCTTGGCCCAGGGCGCACCTGGAAGGGGCTAAGCCAGGCATTTCTTGGGTCTGTGCAGGTGACCCTCTTCGAGAGCTGGGCAGTGAGTGTGGGATTGAATTTGATGAGGAGAAGACAGCTGTCATTGACCATCACAACTATGACATCTCAGACCTTGGCCAGGTAATCAAGCCCTTACAGCAAGAGCTCAGCCTGGAAACCGAGAGGAGGTCCGGAGGGAGTCCTTGACTTGGGGGCACCTTTTCCTGACCCCCGTCTTTCCCTCTGCTGCCGCAGCATACACTCGTTGTGGCTGACCCCGAGAACCTGTTGAAGGCCCCAACCATTGTCGGGAGATCATCTCTGAACCCCATCCTCTTTCGAGGTGTTGGGTGAGTGAGCAGGCACAGGGTGCTAGGAACCTGGGAGGGATAGGATCGCTTTCTTTTGTTGGGAAAGTAACCCACACTTGATGATTCGGGGCATTCCTTTCCCTGGAGTATGTGGGTGAAATTGATTGAGGAAACTCAGACTTCATTGTTGCAGTGGGAGGAGGGCCGCTGTTGCCGCCAGGGCTTCAGCTGTTGAGAAGGCAGGCCTCCTCCGTGTGAGGAAGTGGCCCGTAGGGTCCCCAGGTCCTTGGGCCCAGTCTTCAGAGTCCCTGTTGGGTGTTCTCCTCTCCTTCCACAGGATGGTAGCAGATCCTGACAATCCTTTGGTATTGGACATCCTGACGGGCTCTTCCACCTCTTACTCCTTCTTCCCGGATAAACCCATCACCCAGGTGAGGGGCCTTGGCAGCCTTGAGGCCTCTAGGTCCTGGACCTGGTGGTAGAGCACTTTATTTGAAAATGAGAAGTGGGGCGCCCGGGTGGCTCAGTCGGTTAAGTGTCCGACTCTTGATTTCAGCTCAGGTTGTGAGATTGAGCCCTTTGTTGGGCTCCATGCTACACGTGGAGCCTGCTTGAGATTCTCTCTCCCTGTGCCCCCTTCTCTCTCTCTCTCTCTCTCTCAAAAACGGCAGCGAGCAGGAGAGCTCACTTGGCGGGGGGCTGGGGAATGAGAGGTTGGTGGAAGGGGGAAGGGGCAGAGGCCGCGGGGCCTCAGGTGCTGCCATCAGGTAGGACCTAGGTGGTTGTGGTCCAGCTGCTTGTCCTTTGCCCGGGCTCTCCTGGATGACAGCCCCCTGTTGTTGCCAGTACCCCCATGCAGTGGGGAAGAACACCCTGCTCATTGCTGGGCTCCAGGCCAGGAACAACGCCCGGGTCATCTTCAGTGGCTCCCTGGACTTCTTCAGCGACGCCTTCTTCAACTCGGCAGTGCAGAAGGCCGCGCCCGGCTCCCAGAGGTCGGTGCTGGGGGGCTCCGGGGCGTGTGGTCTGGGGCGCTGGGGAAGAAGGAGCCTTTTAGCTGGAAGGGTGCCAGAGGCTAGCTATCCTCAGATACTTTATTTGAAGACTTGACTTTGTTGCTCTGTTACTGGTGTCGGCACGGCAGACTTTTCAGGGTAGTAATGGCTCATCTGGAGACGTTTCGACGTGTATTTATTGTACAGGCGACCCCCAAAGCAGCACCACCTGACAGCTTTTCCGTGTTCCCGTTAAGCAGGATACCTCGATATGTACGGCCCCCAGGCAGAAACTGGTTCTGTGCAGTTTCTCTCGATGAATAGGGCCTTGTTTCGCCTATCAGGCACCGCTGGAAAGAAGCTGGTTCTGGTGCTCTAGCCTCTCGTTTTCCCCTTGTGCAGGTATTCCCAGACAGGCAACTACGAGCTAGCTCTGGCCCTCTCCCGCTGGGTGTTCAAGGAGGAAGGGGTCCTCCGTGTGGGGCCCGTGTCCCACCATCGGGTGGGTGAGACAGCCCCACCCAACGCCTACACCGTCACTGACCTCGTGGTAAGAGCATCTTAGAGCAGGACGGCACTTGGGGTTTTGGCCAAGTTGCTTCAGCTTGAAAGCCTTTTTTGAACATTTCTCTGATGGGCTTAGTGGCCTAAATAAGGAAGAAGAAATGCATCTCTATGCCTTAAGAACATCAGTGTAGGTGCAGAGCACCTGGCACATAAGCTAACATTTAAGGAGACCTTCTTTTGAAGGGCTGTGGCTTTGCTGTGGAAGTGCAGGAGCGGGAGGGCTTCGCCAGCGCACGCTGCTGGGAGCTGGGGTCACTAGCGAAACACTGGAGTCGGGTCTGGAGGATGAGAAGTGGGGAGGGAAGGCGGCAGCAGGGAGGCCCGAGGAGTACCCGGCCCACTTGCGAGTGGAGTGGTCTGGGCGCAGACGTGGATGGTCCTGTGCCGAGCTGTGGCTGGGAGTCCCTGGCCCGGGGTGCGTGGTGGGGGCTCGCCCTCCAGTTCCTGCCAGGCTCACGAGTGGTTCCGGGCAGCTCTGAGGGTGGCTCCTCGTCCCCGCCCCCCGGCTAACCAGCCTGTTGTCTCAGGAGTACAGCATTGTGATCGAGCAGCTCTCAAATGGCAGGTGGGTCCCCTTTGATGGTGACGACATTCAGCTGGAATTTGTCCGCATCGATCCTTTTGTGAGGACGTTCTTGAAGAAGAAAGGCAAGTAGCGGTGGTGCACGGGAAAGCTGCAGGACGACAGGCCCACCGTGGCCTGTTCTTGTGAGGCAAGAAACCCCTCCTGGTGATTGTCTCGGTTCTTCCCCAGGTGGCAAATACAGTGTCCAGTTCAAGTTGCCTGATGTGTATGGAGTGTTCCAGTTTAAAGTGGATTACAACCGGCTAGGCTACACGCACTTGCATTCTTCCACTCAGGTGAGCGTAAGTCACAGTCCCCTTTTTGGCCACAGCGGCCCCGCCTGGGCTGCTGGGTGGCCCGGACCTGTCACCTCTGTCCTGTCGTAGGTGTCCGTGAGGCCGCTCCAGCACACGCAGTACGAGCGCTTCATCCCCTCGGCCTATCCCTACTACGCCAGTGCCTTCTCCATGATGCTGGGGCTCTTCGTCTTCAGCACGGTCTTCTTACACATGAAGGAGAAGGAGAAGTCAGACTGAGGGCGCAGAGCCCTGGGCCTCCAGACACGCAGATGGGGGTCATGTAGGAATGGGCCTTCCTTTATGGTGTTTTTTTCTTTTTTTATAAAGCTGTGTGACCGTGACACAGCCTTACCTCAGGGGGAGATGCAGCATTGAGTACCAAGGGTTGGGGGTTGGGGACTGCTTTTTATGTGTGTTTTTCCACCTAACGCTAAGTGGTATTTTTCATATGTGGTCACACTCATTTCTAAAATAAACATTGCCCTCCAATTTTGTCTGGCCCCTGTGTGCTTTGCTGTGGTGGGGATGCTGTGCAGTAACGGTGAGACACAAAACAGTGTTGCTGACCCTGGACTGCATTTCCCTTAAACATGAAATCCTAGAACTTTGAGGGAGAGGACATGGTTAGTAATACACCAAGGTGTTTGACTTTCCAGTAGGATTATAGAGTTGACATGTATGTTCACCTTGCTTTAAGCAGTAGTTGATTTCTAAAAAGCATGTGTAAAATTAATGTGAAATCCCTTCCCCACTGTTGATCTCTACTCACGGAATTTTCTTGTCTTTATTAGGCTGTAAGAATCACTCTTAAAGCCACATATTCAATTCAAAGCAAATATGTGTTCTTCAGTTGTAAATGTGCATTTAATTCTTCACAATTCCCGTAAGAAATGCTAGTCAAAAGGCCAATCAGCAAGTAAAACAACACACTGTTAATTTCCATTTCATCATTGCTTCTAGCTATTAGACTTGATTCAGTAGCTGGAGGAAGCTGTGCAGAAGTGCTTCCTTAGAGACACCCCCGAGCTTTCCAGGCCTTGCTGGCTGTCTCTTCATTCTGATACCTGAATATACTGATCAAATACAGCATCCAGTTCAGAAAACATGCAGACCGAGGTCCTGGCTGCCACTTTCAAACAAGCCAGAGTTCATTCCTGGAGTCCTGCGCTGCCTGGACCCTCCTCTAACAGATCTGCTCAGCCATGGACTTTGCAGAGGTCTGGGAGGCTGGTAGGGCTTTTTGGCCCACAGTTAACCAGTTCCAGACCCTCTTTTCACCTGCTGAACTCACTCTTGATTTGTACTCCGATCTTACACATTGTTAGCACTTACACACAGGGGGCCTAGTGATTAATTATCATTTTCTTTTTAGAGTTAGGCCCTTTGGATTCATCTAGACCAGGGGTTGGCAAACCATGGCCTGGTCAGTCTGGCCTGCAGGCCAAAAGTGGTTTTCAGGTTTTTAAATAGTTGAAAAAAAATTTAGACGAATATTTAGTGACATATGAAATTCAAATTTCAGTATATTTACGCATTTCGGACTGCTTTTGTGCTCTAACAACAGTGGAGTAGCCGTGACAGCTGGACTATTGACCACGAGCCCTGTGCAGAGAGTCTGCCAGCCCCTCTGGCTCGGCTCTGGTCCAGTTCTCACAGCACAGGTGAGAGCCTCACGCAGGTTACACGACGCACCTAAGAATCGCACAGCTCGCGTGAGTTAGTAGCTACAGACCGTGACCTTTGCCACCAGCTGTTCCTTCTAGCTGCCAAGCCTGAGACCTTTTCTAGCGCCGCCCGCCCTCGGCCTGGGAGCCTGCCCGCAGCCCTCACAGACCAGCACCACACACGTTGTGAAGTTCTTTTAGTGATATGCCAGCGACAGCAGAGCCCTCACGGGGCTGCTCTCCAGGAGAAGAGGAGCAGGGCTGCCTCGCACAGCACTTCGTACTCCAGGTTGGCCAGAAATAACATCTTCATCTTGGTTTCCACACAGCTCTTCTCTGTAAGCCTATCAGCCAGCAGAGTGGCCGCTGACTGCTGAAGGAGCCAGCCAATCATCTTGTCTAGTTTTAGATTCTTCAGGGCTAGAGTATGTTCACCCCAGAGGCTTAAATGAAGTACGTTAGCAGCTACCCGGGCAGATGGTCTCTGCAACAGGCAGGGAAGCAGGAGCTTAGAACATCCTTGGCGAAGCATTCAACCCCAAACCTGATCTGTTAATGAATTCTTATTTTAGGGTCTCCCCTTCTCTGGCCCCAACCAAATTCTTGTCCATCCCTTTGTCTCTCCTTCCTATAATACCATTCACTCACCTGACATCTGCTGGATGCTCTCTACCCCATTCCAGGCTTTTCCAGGTGTACACATGTGCCCCGGGCAGCCTGCATTGTTGAAATCGCCTCCCCATCAAGGAAGGCCCACAAACTGCCTGGGTCCTGGCACTCTCTGGAGTGCGGGGTCCTCTCATCACTTTGTAAACTGGTAGCAGTGAGCACGGGCTGTGGCTCCTGCCAGCATGCCACCCAGTGGGAGGAAGCGGTAGAATAGTAGCTTGAACCCTGTCTGCCTTTGTGGACCGGCCATGCCCAATCACGGCTTCAAACTGGCTAGCCTTTATTTTCCCTTTTTAATTTCGAAATGCCCAGATCTGCTCTTGGGAGAGGTCTTCACATCCGTCTCATTAGGTGTCAACTGTTCCTATAAACTACAACTCCATTAAACATTTCTTAAAAATAGATCTTCTTCGGGGCGCCTGGGTGGCTTAGACGGTTAAGCGTCTGCCTTCGGCTCAGGTCATGATCCCAGGGTCTGGGATCGAGCCCCACATCGGGCTCCTGGCTCAGTGAGGAGGCTGCTTCTCCCTCTCCCTCTGCCTCTCTCCCTGCTCATGCTTTCTCTCTCTCAGTATCTCTGTATCTCAAATGAATAAATAAAATCTTAAAAAAAAAAACAACAACAGATCTTCTTCTGAGTAACTTAAGCCACTGAAGCCAAGAAGAGTTGCACTGCTGGAATTCTAATTTGCTGGCCAGCTCCCCTACTCCTGTTTATACTGAAGTTTGTTCTCCTGTACTTGGCCTTTATCTTTGTAAGAGGAGCCATCTGTCACTCTAGTCTTGCCCAAACCTGATCTTTACAATGGAACATAAACTTCCACAACCCCTGCAAACCTGGGGACAGCCTTACCTTGCTGGCCTCTCGCTGGAGCAGTGACCTCACCAGCTGTCTTGCATCTAGAGGCACTGACTCAGGCAGTGCGGGCAGCTGAGCCTCCTGGTAACTGCGGCTTTCGAGGTGGGCCCCGCCCTGGCCGTAGAAGGGATTGGGGAGCCCGAAGATTTCGTAGGCGAGCGCACCGACGGCCCAGGCATCCGCCTTGCTGTAGTCGATCACCACCTTGGGGCCAGGGCAGGCGGTGGACACCTGCTTGGGAAAGCAACAGGTGAGCTTCAAGCTGCGGGCATTCCTAACGTATTCATGTACCTACACAGCACCTGACTCACAGGCTAATCTGAACCCCGTCCCAAGGAACCCAGGATTTGAGTGAGCTGTGGCTCAGACCCAGAAGAATCTGCTTAGGCTGCCTACTCTGTGCTGACAAAACGCACATCTCCTGTAAACATTAGGGAGGGCCAGATTCACAGGGCAAGGGACTTGTGCCAAATTAAGGGTCAGAAGAGACAGAGGTGTTGAGTAGGTAATGAGGCAGCGAGTCTCGTCCTCTCAGTCAGCGGGAACCAGTTGGAGAAGTGTGCTGACGGCACAGGCCATGCCCGGCGGGACTCACCTCTGGAGCCATCAGGCAGCCGTTTCCGCCCCGATCCACGTACCAGCTGGTGAAAGGCAGCTGCAGGCCGGTGCGCTCGTCAGCCAGGCAGCAACCGAAGTCTGTGATCACCAGCCAGGGGCAGCCATCTGGGGAAGGAACGGGCAGAGGTAAGTGATGATTCTCTCCTCTGAGAGGCCTTCGCAGGAGCCCTACAGATGTGGCTGAGGGGCTAACAGGGACGCAGTATCAGCCCAGGAACGCAGCGGCTGGCCACTCACCAGAGCGCTCAATGGGAGGCCAGCTACAGGAGCACAAAGGTGCTTCCGGGGAAACCACAGCCCTCAAGCAAAGAACTGGATAGAAGTTTGGCTCAATGTAACTCATCAGTAATCGGAGCTATCCCAAGACTGAAGGAGCTGCTCCTGGTTTACTCAGTAGATGGCGCTTAGCTCTAAGAGCTCTTATGCCCCAAAGATCTTTGATCTGAACTTGAAACCCCAAGTCCGAACCTAAGAAACAGGTACGTTAGGATTTAGTTATTTGTAAAAGGATTCACACAGACTTCCTTTAAAGAGCTAGTTCCTCTAGCAATTTAATGGCACATTACTTTAAATCTTATAGCTCAAAATTTACCCAATCTATGACTCTCCTTTACAATATCGCAGGTTAAGTGGCCATCCAGCCTCTACTTCAGTGCTTCCTGTGTGGGGAACTGGGGAACTCATTATTTCCAGGGGCAGCTGGGCTTACATTTGGACAGCTCTCACTGTTTGAAAATTCTTTTTTCTACTGAGCTAAGTCTACCTCTCTTTTCTTTGAGAAAACTCCCACCACCGAGGTTTTTTTTCTGTAAGTGAGCAACAGAAAGTAACTCGGGGACCATTAACCATCATTCCACAAGCCCCACAAAGAGAACGAAAGCCTCCATTTTGAAGGAGAGATTGCTCATCTCTTGGGTACAGAGCTAAATTAAGATACAACTTCTAATAGGACATAAAACCCAAAAGGACTGGAAGGGTCCTAAGTGTCTGCAGACCCGAAGTCTGGCGCCCCTGGAGGGGCTGGGAAGGTGCAGCCAGGACCCACCTGCGTCCAACTCCACGAGAATGTTGTCAGATTTTAAGTCTCTGTGCGCGACGCCCTGTTGAACCAGATGATCCACCGCCTCCAGCAGCTGCAAGATCATCACGGTGGCGAGGCGGGGGCTTGGGGTGTTCTCACGAAGGTACTGGCGCAGTGTACAGGGGTAGCTGGTGGAGAGGGTGACAGGGCCTCTGGCTGTCGCACATCAGTGGTCCCCCAGCATCTTATTTACTATTAGGATGATGGCCCTTCCTCTTCCTGAAGTTTTTTGATCTTTTTCCCCGAGTATTCTTTCTGTTACCACCCACTATCCTGAAGTTAGGAAGGGAGAGCTGGGGCCCCACATGATGGAAGTAATGGTACAGATACTCCTTCCTCATGCCAGTGACAGCAATGCCAGGAGGTGTAGAGGGTTAGGGAGGAGAACTGGTTTTACACAACTGGTAAGGCAAGCCATAGAGAGGGGGCAAGAGTCAAATGGACTAAAAACACCAGTGAGGACCAGGTTCTGAATGAAGAGGAGATTCTGGTTTCATGAAAAGTCACTCCAAAGGGACCCCACTTTCTGGGACAGTATGCCCTCGGCATGGGTGAGGGTCCTTCTCCCTGCCACCCCGTGCCCCCAGGTGCACAGAGGCAC